AGAGAAGCTGTGCTAAGGGGACAGAATCCCTCAACAACCCCAAACCTCTGATAGAAAACTCAATTAACATACAGAACAGAGAGACCAGTCCAGGCGTGTTGGTGTTTTTAAAGCATCACAGGCATTTTAAGGTTTTTTTATAGGAAGACAAGTAAATCTTTACTCATCTTCAACATTTCAAACTGGTAAAACACTCTTACCACCAAGCACAAAGCAACAAGCTTCCTGTATAACTAATTAGGCCAGCACAATAACATGCTCGCTGGCTCTCACTCAGGCGGTACCCGTCTCCTGCCCCTTCATCCATCCTTTACGATGCTGCTACCAGGTGGATGCAACAAAATGTCAGTGGTCTAAAAAATGGAAAATATAAATTGTAACTAATCTTACACTCGTGTGTTTGTGACTAACATATATCAGCATACAACGCAGCTGATCAATGATGTTTTAAACCCGAGGTTGTTTCCAGAATAATATTTTCATAATCAACTGAAAAATGATATTTCTAAAGCACAGGTACTTGAACTTGGTAACGGTAACACAAGGTATGGATACAATTACATAGCAGCCTATATTCAGCTCCTTCTCTACCATAGCCTACCTACAATTAGTGTTCCAGTCCAACGACATGTGTGTCCATGTAATCTGTGACTCTAACATGGCTGAGATGAGAGTGAGTTAGATAAAGTGTTAAATTGTATAGAATAGAATAGAGTGCTGTATGAATCTAAAATAACGTGTCTGTTATCCTGTCTTCTCTCACTCCAACTGGTCGCAGCAGATGGCCCCGCCCATACATGCCAACCCTCACGATTTTTCTGGGAGAATCCCGAATTTCAGTGCCCCTCCCGAATATCTCCTGATTTTCCACCTGAACAACAAAATTGAAAAACCATATCCCAGAATTCATAGCGCGGACCAGCCAATTCAAGTTTCCAACAATGGCGGAAGCTAATTAGTTTTAATATTACTCTTATTTCTCTTTCTGGGTCACAAAATAAACTTTTAACATATTTTCAGACAAGAATGTAGCTGTGTAAACTTCAAATATCTGAGCCGGCGAGAACAGAGGCAGAGCCTTCAGTTTTCAGGCCCCTCTTCTGTGGAACCAGCTTCCAGTTTGGATT